TACCGAACCGAAAGCACTGTATCGAACGGTTCAATATCAATACGAGTATCGATATTCCAACAATTGGAGTATTGTTGCTCCCCTACTAGTTAGGTATAATATTACTTTAGCATGTGTTCATGTTTCTAATTAGTAATGAGTCATTTAGTACCGGGCCCCGAGAGTTGAGGCTCGGGTGTGAAATTTATGGTTTTCAGGGTTTTTATCGTTAGCTCAGTTTCCCTGGGTGTTTTCCCGTGTTGTAGTTGTGTTTTATTTTGAAAGAAATATTTACGCGTTACCATAGTGATCAGACAGCATTAAGAGGCAGAGAGGAGGATGTTACTCTCAGTGTTGTTGGCACATTTCTGGAGGACGCTGCTAATACGTTACACAATTACACAGTGAATTTGCGTTTATTATTATATTTACAAAATACCACCGTTTTTGTCTTGGTCGTATCATTTTATTTTGTTGTATTTATCCGCGACACCATAAAGGCCGGGCCGTAAAAATATTCTGACATTAAACTGGTCCGTGGTTTAATGGCGACCGCTGGACTAGATGGACAAAACTATCAGGCCACACCTCTTAATCTGAATTTTGTTAAAAAGTGGGTCATTCGAAAGAGCTCACTAAATTTGAGTGCGGTAAACAAATGGGTTGCTAAGTCAACCGATGAAAATTCTACCCTCTTAGATATTCCACGATAAGCTGGTTTTAATGCAAAGTGCAAATGCTTTATGAGCCACAGGAATTCAGCCCTGAAGTGGCTGTGTAAAGTTCCAAAGCAGGGTTACCAAGTGCTCAGGTGCAAAGTGTGTAAAAGTTGCCAACACTCTGCTGAGTTGGAAACCTCCTCTGGCATTAAGATCAGCACTAAAACTGTGCGCCAGGAGCTTCATGGCATGGCAGTTCCTGCAGGGGTAATGTGTAGGTGGCCTAGTCCTTTTGTCTATATACTTCTGTATTTCTACATGGTTTTTATCTTGAAGGACACAGTTATAGAAATAAAAATGGCATTAAAACTGAACAAATGTTATCTACTTGATAAATAAATTAAGTGAAAACCGAAAGACAAGCAAAAATCATTTTGTTTCAGGGACCTTTTTAAAAAATATTTCAGAACTCATGAAGGCACAAAGGTCAATTGAAAAACGTCTTTTTTGCATCAATAAAGAATATTTTTCTTCATGTCGTACCACATCGTACATGTGTACCACTTCAGTGTACATGTATATTGTCTGGTATGTGTTTGTGGTACATGTATAGACTTTGTAGTTCATTTGTTTGTTGGTGATAAAAATTTGATAGGTAGGTGGAAAAATAATGAATGTAAACCTAGTAGGATTAACTTTCTGGGAACTATGAATATCTTCAGTGTAATAAACAAATTCCATATAGACCAGTTGGGCCAACACTGCATTATAGCCTGCTGGCAGGAGACTGTTTTGGGAGTATAATAAGTTAATGTGGGCTTTGTGCATGACATACTAAATAATTCCACTGATCCATCATGATATAAAATGGGGTTTGTGGGTGCTGAATGCTTTAAAAAGTCAAATCAGTCAATAGCACTTAGAGTACATAATAACATTTGATGTATGGCCTGTTTTTGAAATTATATGTTGCCATTTTTATTGCTATCTAACATGCTATCTAACATACAGCTGGTGCTGAATCTTAATGAGATTGGGTGTGGGTTTTTTTTTTTTTTTTTAAAGTGACTCTATGAAACTCCACACAAGTGTGTAGTCGATTGGACCCACGCTCACCATAAGTAGCTTTGGCTGACACCCACGGATTGGCAATTACAGGATAATGGGCCCCACTTCTCCTCCAATATAAAACAAAAATGGAAAAATGTCTAAGAATAGTGGGAGTAACAAGCCATAGATAAAATCTATATAGAGACATAATGCTAGGAGATTGATGAGAAACCATGCCACGCCATTTATATCAGCGCTTCATGCACAGTCATGCACAGACTGTGTTTATATTTCAGGTCATGGAAAAAAAATTAATGGCAAAAATGCTCTCTCAAAAGCAGCGCTATAATTTGAAATTCCTGACTTATGAAGCCTCTGAAGCACCGCTACATGCATTTATAAAGCTCAGCATTCTTGTAATGCCGAATCCTTCAGAATCCACCCATGAATTATGGAGGTGGATGATGTGGAGAATTGATAAATCAAAACGTGGTGAAATTTTTATCACCGTCCTGAATATTGTGTCACATCTCTCTGATACATGGCTGCAGTTTTGTGTGCGCGTGTGAGAGCGAGTCAGTGTGCGTTTGCGCTTTTGAAGGGGATGCTTGTTACCATGGCGACCCATGCTGCTGGGGTTGCTGTGGAAACTGAAACAAAAACACGAGGTGTCCCTGCATGCTTCTCAGAAGAACAAAGTTAAAACATTATTAAGTGAATGCAAAAATAACGTCTAAGGGATGTTAATATGTTTCATTTTACCAGTTTTTATATTACACGCCATGAACCTTTAGAGGTTCTTGCCTACTTTATCTCTCAACCACTCGTCTCTGTCTCGCTTATCTTAAGGTGCCTACCCTCGACTGTCTCTGAGCTTCAAGCTGAAGAGGAACATCGGCTACTTTATTTTGCAGACGTACATGCCATCAATCCTAATTACCATCCTCTCCTGGGTGTCCTTCTGGATAAACTATGATGCGTCAGCAGCCAGAGTGGCTCTAGGTAAGTAGTGGTGACTGTTAAAGAGCAAGTATTTTTCTTTCTCACATGAGGTCGGGGACTGGTAGAAATCAGAAGCTGCCTTTCTTCCTTCAGCTTGATTCCCAAAAGAGTCTGAACTTCTCCTGTTATTGTGTCTGAGCTTTGGGAACTGGCCTGTAAATGGATGGACTAAATGGTGATAGATTTGAGGAAAAGTGCCATCCTGTATATCTTAATGGACTGTTTTTATCCATTGTGACAGTTTCTGTAGGGCAAAAATTCACTGAGAAGCCTTCAGGAGCTACAAATTCATCACATATCTAATGGGCATTATTTAACCTCTACTTGAGTGGTGCAGTTTAGTAGCACTCAACAATACAGAGATCAAGTAAACAAGTCAGTGGTATGTAATTATGGAGATTTCAAGCTGGAGGATGAAGCAAAGTTTTGCCTTTGTGTAAAGCTGAGACGAACACACATCAGGCAAGTGCAATGGTCAGGATATGAAGGCAGCCAAGGTAATATCTCAGGTGCAATTTATACATAGTGCTTTCCACAACACTCATAATTGACATGCTAAATAGGTAATTGAGTGTTCATTAAGCTACACCTCTAAATAACAGAGGTCCAGTTCAAGCTTAAGGAGTAAGCAAACAGCTCTACTGCCTATTTCTGAGAGAGGGTGGTCTCTTCCTTTAGTTTTTATAAACCCCAAAACAAGATGAAACTCAAAAGAAGTATATGTGATATAGCTTTTGTTAGCGCTAATATTATGCAAGGTAGCCATAAACCATGTTTAGCCGTAAGTACTAGCTGTGAGTACTGCTATAAAAACAGCATACTGTCTGTACTAAGATTGTGTTGAACATTTATTAGCAGCAACATGGCAACCAGAGACCACTTCAAGTGACGACAGACAAAGTAACCACTGGTGACTTGAAGTGGGCGAGTCCCGAGTTACACTGTTCTCAACTTTGTAATTGCTAATGCTAACTTCAATGTTGCTTTGCAGTTAGCAAAATAACGTTTTGGTTGCTTTGAGCAAATCACTACTTTATGGAGTTTAACTACCCAGCAAACATAGTGAAAACTGTGATATTATTCGATGGGTCAAAGTGGTTTGTGGTAAGATTACGCCACAAATGAACAGATGTTGATATTTCCTCAAATCTTTGTGTTTCAGCCATGTCTACTCTTACGAAGCAAGAAATGTCAGTCATACATACAACAAAGAAAGAAAATGGATGTGTGTTTTTACAGCATTGGAGTGATAAATAATTTAGATATGAAATAGCTGCAATCAGACAGCCACTCCGCATAAATCCAGATAAGTTCAACATGTAATACACAATCAGTTGTGTGTTGCTTACTTGCTTATCTGGATAGTCACCACCATTTACACTCTGTCCCCCAGTATTAGTATAACCTTTTAGAGCAGTCTGATCTAAGTCTTTATTAGTTCTCTAATCATTTTTGTTCTAACAATATGTCAGAAAGTGTGTTACATAATATAACAATTGTGTGAAATATCATTGTTTAACGCTACTAGTTAAACTAAGTAACACATTTTTAACCAAAGAGATGATGAGATGGTGAGCCTTTCATTAGTAAGATTTCCCATTGTTAGAGATGCTGTAGGTGGTTGGATAGAACTAACATTGTCAGATACCCTTCAGGGACTATTTTGGAGCCATTTCACAGTGAAAAGAGAAGGCTCTCTCTGAACTGGCAACAAGCCACGGATTCATGCAGCAAAGCCCCCGCAACCGGCAAACTTTTCCAAAAAAAAAAAAAAAGAAATTCCAAGTTGTGCTAAATAAATGATGCCATGGAAACTGAAAGCACAGCTTTGTGTGCTAATCTTGGATTGGGAATATTTGTAGTTGTTTTCCTTTATTGACTTTTCATAAAATGCTTTCATAACACTTAACTATCCCAACTAGGCAAATTAAGGCAGAAGGGGCCAGACCTTTAAAATCCCAGACTGTAATCAGTTGGCAGTAGTAGCCAACAAGTAGTCAAGTTTGGCTGCCACTAATGATTTAAATGAATCAGTTCATTATTGACTGACAACCTTTTGAGGTTGGTTGTCCAAAATCCAAAGAAAGGCAATAAATCTGCAGTGCTGCTCTGCCGTGGTGGACTAACTTGACGGAAACTTTCAGGTGTGGCTGGAGATGGGTGAGCAGTAAATGTTTGCCCTGGGGCCAAATAGTTCAATCTGGCCATGCCAATTGATTGCTGCTTTAGTCCTTCAGTTCAGTTTGTAAGGATAGATAATGGACCAATAATGACCTTAACACATCATAATGCTTTTTGGAAAACATGTTTTGATCCATTACCTTTCAGAAGCATCCATCTGTTCCCCTGCTACCCTGGAGGGAGTGTGTGTGTGTGTGTGTGTGTGTGTGCGCGTGTGCATATACTTCTCTGTTACTGCACGGTCTCTTTCCGTATCTTTTCGTCAAGTCATGTATGCAATATCCGGTCATTATCGTATGCCTTGGAGTGTATGTCTGCCTTTTTTGTATGTGTGATAGCTGCAATATCCGGCATGTAGCTCGACAGGAGAAAGGCAACCAGAGGTCCATTCTCTACTCCTGATGGAGCTTTTTGAGCTTTCAGCAGATATCTTGATTGTGGAAGAGGCTGTGCGTGTGTGCATGGATTGCTCTTTGTGTCTTTGTGTGTGCACACACCTGCCGGTAAAAGCAGTGTAATGATCAGGAGGAAATCAATTCAAGGAGGCAGCAGGCAAACAATTGAATTGTTTGAAGGAGAATCTCATTTTCCTGAGCAATTCCAAAGGATTGCAAAGTTACAAATTACCTGCTTGCACCTTAATCTGGTTGCAAGCTTTTTTCCACAGTCAGGACCTTTATTCATACTCGTATTATGTGTACAGTTAGGGTACAGTTAGCTGTACAAGAACACTTTTAGAGTAACATAAGACACATAAGTTTGAAATCAGTATATGTTCGTTCAAACTTTTGAAATCCTGGAATTTTTTACCTATCAAGCATACTACACTGGAGATCTTTTAGCAAAAGGCCGACTGCATGTAAGTGAGTTGATTTGAAAGGTCAATTTTATACTTCCTGATGATGGCTGTGTTTAGCATCTAACCTCATCTAACATCTAACCAGTTTAATGTTGACCTGGTGAATGTTGAGAGGTTAAGGTTTAAAGACAGTGTGCTACAATTCCAATGTCAGGCTGTTTTAGATTAGATAATACATATCATAACCATCTATCCATTTGGATAGGTGGGATACACCATTGGCAGGTTACCAGTCAGTCACAGGGCTAAAACCGACAGGTAACCATTCATTCTCAGTTTCACACCTCAAGCCACTTTAGAATCATGAGTTAATCTAACATTCATGTCTTTGGACTGTGGAAAGAAGAAGCAATACCCTGAGAAAACCCACACACAGAAGGGAAAGCATGCTCAGCACAGAGAGGCCACTGATGTGTGGATTACCAGTGAGAACTTAGAAGGTCTGATAAATCTTTAACTCTTACCCCTTGGACATCTACTGGGAGTAACCCCCCAAAAAACACATCTTTATTGATATACAGTGGGGCAAAAAAGTATTTAGTCAGCCACCGATTGTGCAAGTTCCCCCACTTAAAATGATGACAGAGGTCAGTAATTTGCAC